AGTATATGAGGCCTTAGTTTGCTTCTCTGTGCGACTTCTGAGCCTACTGATTGTAATTTGACTTGTCTTGACCAATAATCAGTACGCTTAACCTGAACAGTAATTGTGACCTTCAGTGTAATTCGTGCAACGTCATCAGCGTGGTATTGACCTAATTGCATTCGAACATCCCCAGCTTTCTAAAAGTCTCACGAGCAAGATGATTGTAGAATAACATAAGATATGAAAAGTGATTGGATCACATCACCATCGATCCAAAATTGCATTGTACAAAAAAAATTATTACAGGTGGATATACTGTTGAGATCACACAATCCAAGTTGATGATATACTGAATATTAGGCTTAACGCTTAAAAGCTATCGAGTTGATTATAACGCTAATTAGCGAACTTGAATCACCCTGAGTTTCATTTGCTCTCATAAGCTGCTCCGACTAGCCATATATGCTTGAACTTGCTCCTGATACAAAATTTGAAAGAGAAAGTGTCGCTACCTCAGCTACTTACCGTCGTAGGCTCGACTACGCTTTGACGGTGAGATTGGTCGAGTAAGGCTTTAAGCAATTTACCGATTTACACATTCTACTTTGAAAGTATTTTGTCTGATGTAGAGATTAACTTACCATCCGAGTACAAAGATTATGGTCGTTTTGCGTCTGGCTCGTTGTTGGATTTCGTAAGTAACGACGTGAGCAAATAATAAGTTAGGTGTCGCACGAATGCGTCGGTATCAGTATTCAGCTTACTTGATTTGTATTTTTGACAGTATGTATCGAAAAACAACCAAAAACCATGCATATAACTACTGTTCGGTGTGCAGGTCTAGAAAGCTTAAAGATGAATATAACTTTTGACCCAGCCAGGTTCGATAAAGTCTGTGTATATTCCCACATCCAGGCCGCAGAATGTTTAAAATCCGGCGAAGGAACAGCCTCTACGGAATTAAAAACTCAGCAAGCCCAGCAACTGATTTTTTGTTCTATAAGACTTACGATCTGCGTTCAAGTTGAGATTCGATGGCTTCGACTCGTATTTTCAAAAGATACGGACAAATGTGGGCCGAACAGGGTAACATGTGTCATATTGCACTAGCTACGCCCAAAACATTTACTGAAAGAAATCGCATCCATCATTATGAAATTTGATACCCAATAGCACTCTTACAAAGTATATATTTATATGAAGAAAGAGCGAGGCAGTTTAATATTATAAGACCATGAACGAGTCGACACTTTTGGTCGCCCATCGATCAGATTGATGACTGACGAAAGTAGCAATTTCGGCACTCCACCACGCAAAGAAGTTGGTTTGGGCTCGCCCCACTCAAAATGTAACGCGAGTACCAAGCTTTCTGTCCTCTTGATATGAAGCCTACGTGAAGTGCTCATTACATTGGATACATCTGGACTCAGAAATATTGGTATGCAACCTAACGCATTTGATCAGATTGCATACGTCAATATGACAGAACTTCCACCTTATCAAGTCCAAAATTTATCATTTATAAAAAGAGCACCTCTGTTATCTTTATGACCTCCTTTAATCCAAGAATTGAATTTCTTTCCACACCACGGAACACAACCGCGACTCGATATTTATGGCACCATCTCAACAACTAATATTCTGCTAGTTAGAGAGCATTATGTTAGATTAGAATGTTTCGTTTATGACGTTCCGCATATTCTCGGAAAGGTACCAGCTCTCTTAATGACTCCCAAATTTCGTTGGTATGATTTAAAAAGATTACAAGCTCACTAAAACTGATCAGATTTGTACGACTTGCGCCAATAACGTTGCCACATCAGCCGATATAGGGCTCGAGTTATTTAGCCGCGGCATAGTAAGAGATATCTTTGGCTAGGACCGGTTGCTTTCGAGTATGCATATAATTCCATCAGCTTACTTTACAAAATGGCTTAACTTTGCTCGTTATGGATCGTAATATGTTTCTATTTCTTGCTTATTCAGAGTAAGGTACTAAGAGTAAGTAAGGAATGGAAATATATTACCACTAGAACTGAATATTCACGTTATCATTTAACCCTATTTGTTTCTTTCATTGGCCGCTTTCATTTGGCTTGAAGCTGATCGTTTGTCTTTGCCTGCTGCACCCATCCTTATGCTTTCCTTTGTTTCAGTCACCCTCAAAATTATCGAGGTTGTACCCGATATAGTGGCTTTCAACATTCGGGATTTAAAAAGCAATCATTCAGCTTGCTAAGGCATGTCCAAGATACATTTCTGTGGCACAATATAATCCGCCGCAATTAATATCGATAGCTGCTTTGCGTGGGGCAACCATCTGTTACGCAAATCGAAGGGATATCCATGTATCTAGAAGCAGACAGCAGTCAAGATATGAATTTGCTCATAGATCTTCCCTTGCTTGCGGGAAGAGAACAGAATTGCTGGTATTCATCGATTTTCGACAAAGAAACGACATCTTAGGCATTTATTTCATATCCTTCAAAATATTCGGTGCAGTGTGCTTATCCCTTGACTCGATTGTACGCGCAAGAAGTCTCATTTCTTTACGATGTGTTGGCTTACGATCTTCTAGCTAGCTTAGTACTACTGCTGAACAGCTCTTGACATTAAGTTGTGCAAAGCGCCTGAATACGAATACAAGTCGGTCATCTTCTACTCTCTTTTCGAGCTCCTTGTCTCTTAAGGGATTGGAATGTCCTGCCCTCACGACTTGTATGTCTCTCTATGGTAGCCAAAGTTAGATAAAAAGTCGTTGTGACTGCTACAAATAGTGTTAGTTGATGTTGGATGCATACTTTGTTCCGGAGCCGCTGGACCATCTACAAACGTACCTCGAGAAATTTAATTAACAAGGCACAATGTACTTCTAAGCATCAATCACGCTCGTATCTACACAGCAATCATGAACACATCGATGCAATGCATCACAAAAAAGCTCAGAATTCTTATGGCGCGATAGAAACGCTATAGGTAAAATTAAAAGACGTGCTGTTTGTAAGCTAGAAATCAGACTCAAGCCTCCCATCGACTCTTTGTCTTGCTTATACATTACGGCTTCAGTATCATATTAAAAAATCCATCAAATCCAGAATGCTCGTATCGCATGTCTAACATTCAAGCATCATAAAGACAACAGGTCGATGAGGTCTTGGAATTGTCTTGTTGAAAGTTAACAATTTGTCAATCGAAAGACTTGGTATCAAAAATTTCGAAGAAATTTTATTGCGAGATCTATTAAAATCGATGGGTTCTTTGTATTAATATTGGCAACGGTCTTTTTCCAAGGAAATGCACCGAATATTATGAAAAGGAAAGTCCTACCCAATTCGCCTTTTTTCACACATCAAAATCTTCAGCAACCCTAATCTGATTTCACAAGTAGAACCGGCTGCCAGTAAGGTCGTCAGGCAGCCACTTTCAATTTTCAATTATGGGCGTTGTGTTCCACCCCACAGATCATCATAGGGCCATTCAATGTAAGGAATCACATGATCACGATATGGAATTATGGAGCTGGAAGGTACAGTCAGAAAATATCACAACAACGTGCCGTAGAAGTACTGAACTCAGACAAGCAGCGACATCACACGCATTAACATCATCTGAAGACTATGTCAATGGGATATCCAACATGACTTGGATATCTAAAAGTTGCAATCAACATGTCATTAAGGATTTTGTGAAATGTAAACAATTATTGCAGTGGCGTACATTAAAGCGTTTAGCTGATGAGATCGTAGCACCCCGTCGCCGATTCAAACGCCAACGAGTTGCAGTACAATACAAGAACCAGTTTATGATATCAGACAAAGAACAATCTGAAAGATATTGTACGACGTCTCCTCGATCTCTTCAATATGCTTTGCCCAATTTGACAAGTCACGATACGCTGTGTATTCTTCACGCCATGCACACGATACCCAGCGAGCTGCGGCATCTTAATAGTCGTGCTAGTTGTAATCGTCTCCACAAACGGTGTGAGGTGCATCAAGTTTTCGGATGGCGTCATTTACTTTGCCAAGAAGATGATGATGGTGATTTAGCGCGCCGTGTAGTATGGAAAAGTGCCAAGGCGCTTGATTCGATGATGATGCGACCTCTTGCACGTCAGATCTGGCGAGCAAGTACTGAAATTTCAAGTGCATCACATGGCAAAGAAACAGGAAAACTATTATACACCATTAACCGGATTGCCCGGGTCATTTATTCTACAAATAGCGCTTACGGTACCGGTGACCGTCGTTGTAATCGGCATCAAATTTGGCTGGAATGCTTCCTTGACGATGGGCTGCAGGTCTGTGTGGCACGCAAAGAACTCCGGCAGTTTAGTGACTATTGCGTGCCTGAAATTAGTGCAACCGAATGCGAAGGATTTCTCGTGCGACCAGTTTACACAAGAACAATCAACACGCAGCTGGTAGGCTGTTCACTGCATTGTCTTCGAGCAGTAGATGCAAGTGACAAAGGTGTGTCGTCTGCATCAGCATTAAAGCAGAAGCTGATCCAGGAACTTCCACAGCACACGCTGCAATGGGAAGAAGACAACATCTATGACCTGATAAAGTTGCCGCAGGTTTTACTGGACAGTATCTTTGCTTAAGAAATCGATGCTGTGTTTAAACAACCACCAATTACCAATTCGTATTTTAGAACCTCCTCATGTCTGCTTACAAATTTATGGATAAATCCCACAGAAGTAGAAACTGCCTACTCTGCCATCTGCCTTTTCTGGTATTCAATCTATATGAAATACAGTGTAGGGTCGAAATTGAGGTAAACCGGTTGTTTTTGATGTTCACGGAAACTGTTCCTTACTTGTTCAACTACCACAAGTCATCATCATCGCACATCTAAAACGTGTGGCTCTGGCGCACCAGGATTTGAACATCAAATTACGTGTTTATGTACATCTCCTAACTTTATTCCGACAAGCGCTCTCTCTATAGTAACTCCAAACTGAAAATGCAGCCGCATTATACCTCGATAATCATCCTTTAGTTAAGTAATTAAGGCAAGTGAAGATATGTCAGTGTCAGATGCAACTTCATCTTTTGGATTGAGATGGTTATGGTTCAAATTCCTGATTACTTTGTGTGGAGTTGGGTGTTAGGATGGGATGACTAAGAGTAAAACTTGAATGTGGAAAAACGTAATGCAGTAACACAAAATCGAAGGTTTCCAACGACCCCAACATCTAGATATCGCGGGAAGAGTGTCACGGTGGTTTGTTCCATATTTTTACTTGAATATATAGAGCTTGGAGAAAAGTGAGTTTCAAATTAGAAAGTAACTATCCTTGAAAAGTTTAAAAATAATTGAATACACTTGATATAAGCATTGACAGTTTAATGGAGGAAAGGCAATATCGCTATTAATATAAATGAATCAATGTTTATCCGCTGAGAAGCGATAACCCAATGAACGGAAATGGATCTAAAGAAAGATATGTAGACAAAGTACAGATAACAAATTCCAATGACAACATTCAGGTACGATGACGGGTCTGGTGGTGATTTTAAGAGTTTATGGCCACCAAAGCATTCTACAAAACTGAAGGAAAGATGCGTCTAAAACCAAAAACACTGATGATAGATTTTTAGTTAAAGAGATGACATTTCCAATCACCAAAACGAGGAGCTTGCGTTGTGGTACCTACCATGCATTAAAAAGTAGGGGCCCTAAAAACACCCGACCAAATACCAATAAAAGGATTTTTATTGCTTGAGAGAAACACAACAGACAAAGGGGTGCAGCATAGAACACTGGGTTGTCGAGGTCCTGGTCTAATGGGTCTAGAGTAACTTTCTGCCAGAACATTTTTCAGCTACATGCTAACTTTTAGTAAAACGTCTAATTGGAAGGTGGATATTACGCATATACTGTAAGACATTACATGCATGATTCATGTGTGTTTCTTTATAGATTCTTCATGATTCCTCTGTAAATATCGATAGTGTCGCGCCCTTGGTGCATGACGATCGATCTTTTTCTGATAAAAGCTAGATTATGCTACAAAGTGTAGACAGGATGATATCAGCAATTGGATCAGTATTGACTTTCTACCAGCAAGATCGAAGCCACTTCGTGAACACAAGTGAAAGTTGAGATGAATGCAAGAGTAGAAGAATCATTAATAAATTATAGATTTAGCTTATCCATCCAGGCAAGATTGGTTCTACGTAACGCAAACGAAATAAGTGGGCGGGGCATGTCGCTCCAGTACCACAGTTGCACTACTTATGTATCTTAAAGGATTTCCATCACCACGCTACAATCAGTGTGTGGGCGATCTACCGTGAGAATATCGAATCTGGTGCCAACCGCCTAGAACATAATCTTTATGCTAAGCGTAAATCCTGAACCGACACAAATGCCACAGGCAAACTATATTTACAAAAAACGGCAATGCAGAATCCACACCGGTTTAGATGTTGGTGACAGCAGATAGATGAGCAATTTTGCTCAAAAAGACTTGACAAACCGGTATGACGGGAAGCGCATCAAATGTAAAAGTTATTTTAATGCACCGCGGATATAAATGCCGGTGGTAGCATCCCGCTCCAGTACATCAGACACTCCGCAAAAGTGCTTCGGAAGCTATCCACCACCATGCACTCTCAACGCTTTTTTTTCGGTCATCTGTCTGAGTAAGGTCAGCGGGTATATTGCTCAATCTCGTACCAAGCACCTCAAACAAGATGCTACACGGCAGCTTTATAAACAACATCACACATATCTGCGCGGCAGATTGTGTGATGTTTGTAAATGCTCAAAGGAAGGTTCCAAAACCGTAGAATAAAATGTCGATGATATCATTATCGTAGCGAAGACGCGACTACTCATGGATTCAAAGTCAAAACTTTCGATGTCACAGTCATCAACATCACAAGATGGATGCTCGGCAGTTCAACGCGCTCAGATCGATACCTTTCCCCACTGGATGTCTGCTGTACATCAAGACTTGTCGTAGAAGAAACAATGCCTACAATACTACAAACTGTCGCGCTTAATAAAAACATCCATGCAAAGTGCTGCCGTAGCATAGCGCTTGAGGAAGCGTTATTTAGGCCACCGACCTTTCGCTCTCTACAAGAACCAATTTAGCGGATCGCAATCCACTACCTCCAAGAGCATTTTGAACCTTAACCAAGGTTAATAAACTCTTCCTTTCAAATTCAAAACTGATTTTTATTTACTTTTATCTGCGGCAAAGCCGCCTCATTTTAAATGTTTGGATATTTCTAAATATATAAAGTAAAATCTAAATACATGCATAACTACTGGCTACCTAGCCCCATACCGTATTCTTGT